CGCAGGCAGGCAGTTTGCGCATGCCCATTGCTGTCTCTCTTTATATCGCCAATATACCTGTCTGATTTCATGTGTACTACACCACGCAGTCTGTCACGATGCGTTGTAGAGTCAGGACAAGACATGGTGCAGGCGCCATACCACCCAGTGGTCTGCACGATGGGGGCCGGTGCTCTATCTCTTCTAAGTTTGCAGAGTCTTCCTGATCGGCCATATTTGGGTAAAGACACAAAGACAGTATAGGCTGAGGCAGAAAGTACCGTGGCGCACTAATAGGGGGCAGTGGAGTGCGGTGAGGTTCATGACTGACTGTACTTAGCCTTATGGGCACACTGAGTGACAGATGTAAGCGTCTTCTTCTACACAGAAGGGGCGTGTCGCTGAAAGGCTTGTAACGGTCGTCTGTTTGCAGTCGGAATACTCAGTGAAAATTTGACAAAATGGATGATACTGTTTCAAAACTTCCCGGTCAAAACTAGAAGTACTAGACTCCCGACCCCCGAGCTGAAGGCTCTGCTCCAAAGTTGGAGAAAGGTAATCCGCTTTATTCAAACAAGTGATATTCCTGAAAAGCGTTGTCTTGCTCGGAGAAGCCGCTTTTTTTTTAGCTTTTTTTTAGCTTTTTTTTTTTTTTTTTTTTCTAAATGGGACCATGTCTGGGCCAACCCAGGATATTGTGACATGAAAAAATATGAATGGGAAAAAATAATAAATGACTTTTAGAACGTGTCCGGAACAAGAGGCATTCAAGTACCATCGTAAATTTGGAAATCTGGCAATTAAGGCACTGAAAATGAGCGTTTGGACCAGGAGTTAGGTCTAAATTGAAATATAATAATATTATTAGATACAGGGCCGTTTTCCATGTCCCTTTAGGGGCTCCGTAAGTTCATGTATTTTTCCCACTCGAAGAGGAGTCATTGCCACACCAGGCAACTTCACCCCCCACCCACCCTATTCTCTTAAGGAAGGAAGAGTAAAGGAAAAAAGTTAAGGAACCACAATTGTGAAGTTTTTTTATTTACAATTATAAAATAAATGGAAACATAATCACCACCTCTCCATTGTTAACAGACCTTGAAACTATTTTTTTTTTTTTGCTTTGATTACAGTTTATTATTTCCGCTCCTCCTCCAGCTCCTTCTTTAATTTAACCCACTCTCTGAGATGCTGTCATCCTCTGAACCTTTTCCATGGTATTTTGTTCCTTGAGAATCCCAGGCTGGAGGCTCCAGTCCTCATCCTGTCCCTCTCTCAAACTGTTGCTGGACCTCCTCCTCCTCCTTTTGCTCCTCCTTTTACACCCATTCTCCTCTCTCTTCAGCAGATGTTCTCCTTAACTTTGTGACCTGAGGCTGAAACAGTTGGGGTGTTAACAAGTCTGACCAGTGACCAGTCTGACCAACGGCATGTGTAAAAGAGGAGACACGGGCTGTGAGGAGGTGGAGGTGAGAAAACACATTCCTGTGAAAAAGAGAGAATGAAGACATTGTCAAAGGTTCAAACTGAATGTACTCCATATCTTTGAAAACAAACAAACAAACAAATACCTCCCTGGACCAAATGCTGAAACTGAATTAAAACTGATAGACCACACTGTGTGACAGCAGTTAGTGACCTTGTCACACAGCAGCAAGGTCAGTGGTTTGATCCCCAGATCTAACTGTTGAGGATTGGATGATAGTTAATAAAATAATGAAAATTAATCTATCTAAAGTCTTGGTAAGATCCTGGGACTCTACCTGAAGGCTTGATTTCCTAACTTGATGAAAACAGAAAATTAGTCTCTAATTTTACCAAACACAGGGAAATGTCTAAATGTCATGTCTAAAACACAGGTTCAGTTAAAAAAGTACAACTGAACCATTTTTCACTTCAGTGTGAAAGTAAACATACTGCTACTAAAGCCCAATAGCAAGTATTGAGCAAAAATGATTCGATGACAAAACTGTGTGGGGTATGCAGATCTCATTGTTTGTTTTTAATTGTCAGAGTATGATGTCATCAGTGTGGGACATCTTTCCTGACCATGTGATCTGTCTGTCAATAGGAATAAACAAAGTTTGTTTTTAAAGTTTCTACAATTTCCAGAGGAGTATTTGATTGGAAATGAAACTAATGGAAAAACACAAAATGAAAATTATTATTTTAGCTTCCACAGACAATTAAGATGTCTGTCTGCAGTAAAGAGGATTTACTCTGTTGTATGTAAATACACCACGTGTTTGTGTGTGTGATGTCTGTCTGTCAATTGCAGCTGCGACACTTTTTACCCTGGCTCTTCACACAGACCTGACGTCAGTGAGTCTCCACTGCTGTGTGATTCCTCATGAGCCGTTTGAATCGGTGTGAATGTAAATGCAGCTGTAGCACTCGCAGATAACAAACAAATGCTAATATGTCAGTGCTGGTTCACGCTACACTCCCCTGCCCTGTTTTTGCTGCATGTCTGTCTATTGGCACAATTTAAATCTTTTTTATTTCAACATTTACCTTAATTTAAATAAATTGGAAAAATATATATATATTGTGGGAAAATTAAAGTTTGTTTAGTTGCTTACTGGCAGCGGCTTCAGGAAAAATGTCCACAAAATTTCTGAATAAGTCCTTTAGAGTATAATGAGTGGGCTTTTTAATGTAATGCTAACATTGTTGATACCTTTACTGTAAAATGTCCTGCTATCAGGACATCATCCTTTGTCTTCATGTTGACTCACAACACATTTGTTCCGTTTTGTTGTCCAGTAATAGCCTTGTAGTCAGATGTTTTTCTTCTCCCCCGCCTTATTGTGGAGCTAGGCACATGTTTGTAAGCCTTGTTCTAAGATACACATATTCTACTGTTGGATGGTTTTATCTTATCCTGTGAACTGTGTCGGATGGTGACTTGTCCACCGTTGTTTAAGAGAAAACAACCATTAAAGACACAAAGCATTTGGTGCGTTATCATTATACTAGCATCTCAAGCATTAACATGCATTAAGAGCTGTGAAAGCCAGTAGCGAGTTCATGGCTTTGGCTATGCTAGCTCATGTGATTAGCAAGAGCTAGCATATAGAGTGCTAGTGATGTGTTAGCATCATGTAGAAAGGTCGTTTTCTTCCCCCATAGGAAAATCTTTGATCTTTGATCCCAAACTGAGTTAAAGGAACAAATGCCCCCAGTTAGTCTTCAGTTGTTGGGATACAGACTTTTTAGCCATATCTAGAGAACTGTTTCAGGTTTGGTGGAAACAAGGGGAAGCAGAGCTTTTTCTCCAGATCAAGTCTGACTATGTCTCTTTAATTGTCTTGTTTTTTCAGTGCAGGGTGGTGGATCCTGCACTGGAAGCTTAAGGCAGAAAAGTTCTCAAAAGCTAATTTACCTCTGTGATGCAAACCACACAGATCCTCTAAACAATGGTGCACGGAGGTGACCTGGAACACTCCCTTCGCTGTTGCATATCTTCTAATAAATAAACTGAAAGAAATGTAGCTCTGCTCCTTTTGTCAGATTTCATGGTAATATTTAACTACACTGAGCTGAAAACCAATGGCTCCCTAAATTACCTAAGCTTCTTGAATTAGTTCCTTTAATTCATGTTACCTTCCAGTGGACTCACCACACGCAGGAAGGTTCAGGGGGGTTGGTACAGTGCAATGTGATTTGGGTGGCGGTCATGGAGACTGCTGCCCCTGCGACCCGTTAACGGATAAGCAGATGAAAATGGATGGATGGAACTCATTCATGTTGAAGGAGACAGTTTTTTGTTTGGTTTTTCAAAATAAGCTGAAATGTCCAGCAAGGCCATGGCTTATAATACATATGTTCTTCAACTTGGTTGTTATACACCAGACCATCAACAGTCTTGAAGTTGCAAATGAGAATCAGATAAAAATGACTACTTATAATGGAAATAAATAACCTCTATAATGACTAATTAGCCTATATCCAACTAAAAGGTTTGGAAAAACATTTTAGAGAAATAGTGACAAATAAGTCTAGATAAATCTAAAACTAAAAGCTAAGTTAGCTAAAATATGTAAAAAACAGTTTGGTCGGCAATAGTTTGCAGACGTCGAGGCCATTTAATCTAGTTGAAAGTTTGCCTCTATTGGTCAGCAGATGTAAAATGGATTCTATTCATTTATGGATTCAGTTTTTGAGAAGGAGAAAATCTGGACCAAAAACAGTTCAAAGCTTTCACAAAAATACAGTGACTTCTTAATGACAAAGCAAAAAAAACATTCTTTAAAATGACAACAATTTCACTAAAAAGACAGGAAGTACATTCATGGAAAAAACATATATACACAATTTCACTAAAATGACAGAAAGTACATTCATGGAAAAAACATATATATAACCAAGTACAATACATTTCTAAGTGAATTAATCCAAACAAAATGTTATGTCCTGAAGTTTTGCAGCTCTTCTAGAAATTTATCATTTTGGGTGTGTGAGTCTGAGAAAGAGAGAGGGTGTGTGTCGATGTGAGTATGGTGTGAAAGCTGAATGAAGTCCAGGTCTTTATGCTGAACCTGATTTCTTTTGTGTGACTCACTACGTATGTAGTATGCCAGGAAGCTCAACTGCTCCTATTCCACAGACACATATTTAATTGTTCTAAAGGTCAGAGTAGACAGAACATACCTATTACTTGAATACATAAAATTGCCCTTTATCCTACAGGTTCAAGTTAAATGAAATATACTCAGTTTCTGCAATTATTTTGCTAATACATTTTTTAATGAGAATGTCAAATGTCAGAGACTCACTTTTTCACCTCATAATTTTTAACACTAGCTCTTAGTAATTTTTAAAAAATCTCCATTAACATCAATACGCAGTCTTTATCTTTAGATTAAAAAATACACAATGGATTTTTGTGTCGACGACAAGAAAACTGTTAAAAGGCACACAAAAGCTGAGTGAAAAGATTATTTTCAAGAATGCCAACGTAATTTCCGGTTTCTTCCTCTGAACAATAGGCAACGCTGTCTTGCAATCTGATTGGACGGTAGCTGGATGGTAGAGTCCCGCTGATTGGCTGAAAGGTTGCCGCTTCGCGGCTTCTTTTTTGAACATAAATATGAACAGCTGCTGTAGTTAGTTCTTCAGAAAGGAGGAGAGGGAGTTCGTGCCACAGTCGCAGCTTATGGCAAAGTTCAACAAAATGAGGACTTAAACCCAAAATTTCAATTCAATCCAACCATATTTTAGATACGATACGTAGATACTCGGAGCTTCAAACAGCTGCGGGTTTGGAACAAACCTTCTTTAATTTCCTGAAATGCTGCCGTGAAGCGTCGCTTACTAGCTTGTTAGCTCGAAGTCGGATCGCCCTGCAGTGGTGGTGCTGACAAAGACTCCACCGAAATATCATCAAAATCCAACAAAAGACAAAGACTGCAGGGTCGTTACAGACTGAAGAGCTGAACATGGAGTCTGCACCTCTGTTTGATAGCACGAGCCCGCTGAAAAATGGATCTTCCGGAAGGCCACAGCAGATCCCCGGCCTTTCCTCACTCTCTCTTCCGGAGCTTAGCTTCCAATCCCCGCACTGCAAACAGCTATTCTCTTCTCGAACCGAAGCGGTTCTATCTCCTGTCACCCACCTCACTCTGGGCTTGGACAGCTTAGCTGGCCTTGGAAGGTAGTTACGATTTATTTTTACCGTTTAATCGTTGTAAAATATTTGTTTTTGCTCTGAGTTTGTGTTTCACGAGTGCATTGAATACACGCTCGGTGAACTCTTTTTATTGATCTGGTTTTGTTTCTCCCCGCAGTCAGTGTGACACGCCGAAGACAAGGAAACATGTTCCCATCGAGAAGGTTCCTTCATTCGCATCTGATGTATCATCTGATGCTGGTGAGGCTTTTCATCACAGTTGACTCATGAAATCGTTTAGTTTGTTCCAGCACAGGAAATAGTGACAAACGTTGATCAAAGCCGACTATCCCTGTTGGTCTTAATCTGCTAAGACATTAGGTTGAATAGTAATTGTGATTAGTTGTTTTATTTTAAAATGTTCATTCAAAAAGTGAATTTTTTTTTTGTTTATTTATTTACACATTTCCATACTGTGCATTATTCTCTCTTTTGAAGCGTGGGAAAATAAGCAGCAGTGTAATTAAAAATATTCACACGTTTTTTTAAAAACAGTTTTTTAATTTCTGGTGGGATTTTTTTTTTTTTTTTTTTTATGGAAATTGCCCTAATTAGTATGTAAATGCTCAGTGTGCTTCCACCAGACAAAGAACAAAAGTTGTTCATTAGTTTAATGTTTGATTGATAAATCAACTACATGTGTCTGATGTGAGATATACTCTATAAATATTTGACCAGCCTCCTTATTCCACTGGAATAAAAGCCAGTGCCTGGTGTCATTGTCTCTTCTGTTGGTCAGTCTAACACTAGTCTCTGTCTTCAGGACTTGGTCTGGATCCTCCCAGTCCCACAGAGGTTGATGCTGAAGAGCTGTAAGTTTTATTGTCCCGGTTTGTTCTGTTCTGCTGATAACTGAAAGGACTCACATTTAACACATTTGTTTTCTTGTTTTAATGTTATTCTGTGCTTTAAAAACAGACCAAATTGTCTTTTTCAAACTGTTGAGAAACTGAGGGTGTCCTTTAATGTGCCGTTGTCTGCAGCAGCTCAGCTGTTCTGGTCTTGGCCGGCTCCGACCCTTAGTCTTTGTCCGAGTCTGTCTTTCTAATCTGATAAGTGAGTTCCGTCACTGGAGCCGTCTCTGCTGGAGGAACTCCTCCACCTGCTTCTTCAGCTGCTGATTTTAAGGAGTGGGGGGAATTAATGCAACACCCCCTGGGTTTAGGCACACTCTTCCTATGTACTGTTATTTCACTGGGAGGGGGGGTGCAGGCCTGAATAAAGGAGGCATGCCCTCGGAGAACAGCTGCCTCCTCCTCCTGCTCTACTAACAAAAGAACTCCTCTGAAAGGAGTTTGGTGCTGAAGCAGGCATATGGTCCTTTATCAGACCCCCAGTCCCTGACCCCCCACCACCACCCACTACACACTCGGTTAACACGCGAGTGCACATTCTATTAAACTAAAGACCGGCCTCCTCTCATTCAGCACTTTTCTGCAGATCTTCAAATGGTCCATTGTTTCTACCTGGATGTAAATGTCTGTCCAGAGTCTGATGGAATCACAGACGTTTGAGACAATTTCTTGAAAATATCAACTGTTCCATTTTGAGTCTAAACTATTCACGACTGTTTTGTCACAGATTTGAGAAAGCCATAGAAAAGTCGAGTCAGGTCGTTAATGGGTAAGTTTTCAGTCAAATTTCGGACATTTACTGAGAACCATTACTGGGTTTTTTTTTTCCCTAATTCAGTGTCAATATTGAGCATATTTGTCTTTTCTTTGATTCAGAAAAGCACCAATTAGAAGAATTAACTCGCTGCCAGTAAGTAGACTGAATCATTGTCACGTGTCATATTTGTCGTTGCATTATTTTCTTATCGTGACCTCACTGTTTCCTCAGCTCCAGCTTCAGGGCTTCAGTCCCTCACTAAAGGGACACGAATCAGACTGTGGGCGTCGTTATGGGATCTTCAGCCAACAACCATCCACAAAAAACTCCAGTGAAGAGGAAGACAAGGAGAACCATCCTGAGGTAGGAGGTGACGTTTGTGTCAGGTTGAACCAGTGACTGGGCTCATATGTAGGAGGTCATCTCCACACTGGACAGAGAATAAAGCTACTGAAATCAGGCAGCAGTCGCATGAACTGTTAGTCAGATTTCTCTTATTTAAACCAGTGCTTAAACCCTGTAGATGAACTTTCAATCCGTTGTCTTTTCTCTGAAGTTGAAGCTGTTGTCAGATGCAGATGTGATCTGGTGCTGAGCAAAAACAATTTCTTTTTTTTTAGGAGGGATTTGAATTCAAGAAACCAACCAAACCTGTGTCTCGGAGTCGCGGACAGTCATTCAGTGGACAGTCGAAAGACCTGTTGGCCTGCCGGCCTTGCTCAGCTCCAGCTCTGATGGTAGATGAACATTGATGATTGGTAAACTCTGCTCTGAAGAAATGTGTAGAAACATAATAAACAACTCTTGGTGTGGTCTGTGTCCAGCTCTCTTCACCTCCTCCAGTTCAGCAGTTGAACTTTTATGACTCCAGTCCCGTGTTGAGATCTTCTTCTGCCAACTCTCCTTTAAGCCAATATGATGATGACGGCTTTTCGGACGTGTTGGACGACAACATGGAGGTAGGACTCAACCGTGGTGACAAAGTTAATTTATTATATCTGAAGTGCAGTGGTTTATCATCAGATGCTGTTCTAATCTGTCCATTAAAATAAAACCTTTTTTTTTTTTCAGGATG